ACCTTGACCCCCCAAAATAAATCCCCAAGTGGATGTAGCATTTCTTTGTCACAGTATGTACATACTTTCTTACTCAAAATTCCTCCAGTAGACAGCAGCATCAGAAACATCATTGAGGAGATATTACAAACGCAAAAAAGCAGACCCACTTTAGACCTATTCAATGAGAATCTGAATTTTAGCACGATAGCAGATGATTTCTGGACATTTCATGAAGCCGTATTTTGAGAAATATTTATTTCAGCTAAAGATATTTTTCCCCTCCTGGGAAGCCATTTTAGAAAATTTCTGTGTAAAGCCACATGTCAAAAATATACCCCTTTATTTTCTAATTAATGCAAAATTATATTTCAAAACTACTTGAAGATTGTAAAGATTGAAAACCATAAGGATTTGTCAGTGAAATGAAAAAATATTTTGATAATTAAATAGTTTAGAATAATTAGAAATTACTACAGTAAAAAAATGAATTAAAATTCTGTGCACCTATGTTAGAGAGTATTGTACTTAAATTCATCTGTGTAGTTTGGTTTGGGGATTTTCTTCACCCCTGCAACTTGTGATGACTTTATTGTACCCTAGGTGATCACTACCCTTCAACCCTATTCCCAGATCAAATGCAATCAATCCATAGGCCATGGAAATTCTTTCTTCTGCCTAGTCTAGACTATTCTTAAAACCTTTCAGTGTGTTTTCTATTTCCTTAAAGTATTTTTCATTTCCAGAAGCTCTATTTGGTTTTTCTTTAGTATGTCAGGATCTTTAGTGAATTTTTTATTCATTTTCTAAGTTGTTTTTCTAGTTTCTTTGAGTTGGTTTTCTATTTTCTCTTCAATTTTGTTGAGCTTCCTTACTATTTATAGTTAAAATTATTTATCTATCATTTCAATATTTTCAGTTTGGTTGGTATCCATGGCTAGAGATCTGGTGTTCCTTTGGGGGCATCTTTTTGCTTTAATTTTTCATATTTACAGGGTTCTTTTCACTGATTCTTTCTCCCTGGAGCAGCTGCAGCTTTTTATTTTGGTATTTTCTTTTGCTTAGATGGAGCTTCCCCCTCCTCACTTGTACAAGGTGCTTGTAGCGTATGTTGGCGTGAAGAACCTTTGGCCTTGTTTGTGAGTACTTTTATGGTGATCTAGGTTCCGGATAGATACTTTGGTTATAGATATCTTTAGTATGGTAGTTGTCTCTGTTGATAGTTGTTTACAGACTGTAGCTTTGATGTGCAAAGTGTATCGCAGATTCCCTGTCTCTCTTTGATGAAAGAGAATGGATATCTTGAAATCCCTTCCCTTTCCTCAGCCCTGTGGTCTTCTTAGCACTGTGAATTGTATTGGTTTAGCTTAACCTCTACGACAATAGGTGGTGCTTATAGGTGAGAACTGACCTGACCCCATATGATTGAGTCAATAAATTCTCTAAAGGTCTGTGCAAATGGACCACCCTGTCACTAGGTGGCACTTGACAGAAGAGACAAACTGCAGTTTTATTTTTGGAGCTTGTGACCAGGGCCAGTACCTCAGGAGGACCTCTAGAATGCTCATGTGGTGGGTGGAGTCCTGGACTCGCAGGTGTGTCCTTGTTCTCTGCCACAGCTGAGGCAGGTGGGGGTGTGAGGCTGGATGGGGTAGGGTGGGTGAGCCTGCCTTCAGACTTACAAAATCTAGAAAGGTAGCTGATTCAGCAGGCTTCAATGGTCTGCTCCCAGTTTCTGGGGAAGGCAACCAGGGAAAGGCTGGAATGAACTCACCCCACCAAAAAGTCTGTCTGTAGAATAAGGCTGAGATTCACAATCCAACTTTCCAGATCTCAAACCTCTCCTGGTCTACAGGTCTGACCTGCTAGTGTGCATCTCCACAAAATGCTGGCAGGCTGGGAGCTTCCAAATTTGGCACCCCAGGTCCACTACAAGTTTCCAGTGGGCCCCAATCACTGTGGAGGCCTTAGCCCGAAGTATGCTCCTGTTGAAGAAAGGCAGCCCCTTGCCAACTTCTCATCACAAACTGTTCTCTCAGCTGAAATGGGTGGTGGAGGAGCCCCAGCTCCCAGTCAGTCCAAGCACTTAACTGTGCTACACCTGGTTGCTACACACGACTTCCTTGCCAGGAGACCCACACTAATTCAACAGGGCCTGTTTCTTGTGGGGGAATGGCCACTCTCCCAGATCACCACATCTCAGAACCACACAATATTATCCCATTAGTTTGATCTATATGGGCTCCCTCACCCCACATATCCAGCTCCCAGAGCTCCAATTTGTTTCCCCCATCTGCCCACTAGAGTCCAAGAGACACAGGATTTAGCCTGCTTGTATGACTGGCTGGGCTGCAACTCTGTGAAATACTGGTGGGTGGATTGGAAAAACTCTGTCCACTGCAGGCTCCCCAGAGAAAAGGTATGGGATTCACTCTTTGTGGGAAGCCCCTGCTCCCACAGAATATCCAGCCTCTGGGAACACAAAAGTACTCCCCACTACTCCATGTTTCCCACTGTGTCTGGCTCGTGGGAATGAGAAAGCTCCCAAGTAACTTGGTAGCCCCCTGGTCACCAAAGGTTCATGAAAGGGAAAGAGGGGCCCCCTTCATCTTTTCACTGGGATTTGAGCCTCTCTGGGTTTGATCCTCGTGGATATCTTTTTTAATTCATCTTCTTCCTTCTCTGCTTCAGTTTTCCTCCATGAAATCCCTGGCAGGATTCAGAACCTTTTCTTCCCTTTTCCTCATCTGAAAACCTACTTTCCCTCCAAGATGGCCTGGCAGGCAATGTCTCCAGTCAGCCATCTTTCTCTCCTTGTCCTTAGGGCAAATCTTGCAGCAAGATTTTTACAACACATCTCAAAAATATCTAGCCTCACCCTCAGTTGGTGGCCTCTTGTCTTAGGTCTAAGAACTGTGAATTTAGGTTTTTGGAGATCAAACACACCAAGGGTCTACAAATCAATTTAATGCTAATTACTCCATGATGAATTAGGTACTGCCTCAGATCTCTATTTCTGATGTGTTTACCTCATTTTGCAAAATGCATACACTTTGCCCTAAAGGTTATGAATAGAATCTGGCTGTATACGACCTATTCCACCTGTCATAGCTGTGCTCCCTGGGAAGCAGGGCTCAGAGTTAATCATGCAGGACATTTATTGGAAGAAATTTCTTAAGATCAACCTTCCTACAAAGAAGAAACCATGAGAAGGATGGGGAGAGCTGCCCAGCAAAAGCATTCCCTAATCCCACAGAGAATACAAGAGCTGAGATTGCTCTCCAGAGCTGACTTGAATTGATACTCAAGGGTTAGAGTATCTGGACAGATCCTGGACAGAGATCCTTTACTCCTCTTCATTCTGTATCTTTATACACCATCCAGGTTCAACTGTCATAGAATTGGGCCCTGTAATCTTGATTCTTAACCTCTCTCTGGGTGTTTTCACTTCTCACTTTTTTATTACTCTTTATGGAAACCATGAAGATATGTTACATTTACTATAATTCTACATTTTGTCTTCATATTAGAATAAACTTTAAACTTTGTTTTGGAAAAAATAAATGGCTTTTAGCTTTGCTTAAAAAAGAACTAAAATTTGGTTCCAAATTCATCACATGGGTATATTGAAGGAGGAAGTATTGTGCCCACCACACTTTGCATAGAAAGTCCTGCCAGTCTTGCATGGTCTGGACCTCAACAGGCATCTGGATGAATCAGTCCATAGGGCTAAGCTGCTGCACCCAGGCAACAGAAGCAATGCATGATGAAGTTTCATGAGGTGAGCAGCCTTCTAGGCCTGGGTCTCAGCATGTTCTAGTCCTCAGGCAATTCCTCAATCTATGTTTCATCCTCAGCAGCAGCTGCCTGTGTCTCTACCCAGTGGTCCAGAGTCCCCAGTCCAAGAAGGAGTGACTCACAGGAATTTTGGAAGTCTACTGGGATTGAAGAAGAAAATTTAGCTGTCCCAGACTGGGGATTCACATAGATACTGAGATAGGAAACGTAAGAAGTGGCGGTAGTATCTGTTCTGTGAGTCGTAGATGATCCTGGAGTAATTCTCACTCTTCCTATTTGTGCAGCATGACACCCTGGGGACCTCATGAGGATTGTGAGTATTCCCCACAGTGTGACTGGGTAGCATAGAACTGATTCTTGCTTGTGGCAATGAGAGTGGAGCCCTGGAGCCCTGGAGCGTAACACCTTTCCTGCACAACTCCTCTCTTTTTTTCTCTGCAGTGTCTGAATACAGGAGCCACCCCTGGCTCTGAAATTCTGTTTCTGGAAGCCTTCTTCCTGTCCCAACACTTCTCATTCCCTGGTGCTTACTGTGGGCCAATGGGAGGCACAGAGGAAGTGGCACCTCCAAACATCCGACTCTGACTGTACCATGGGGCTCCCAGGCTAAGTGGGAGAGGAGGTACTGGGTTGGCCTGGAGCACAAACCTTCCCTGCTTTGCCCTGGTGTTCAGGCCTCCGCTCCTGGCTTGTTCACTTATATGGAATCTCCTTTGAATTTATGGTGTTGGATAGATGGGCATAAATTAGGAACAATGGAGGCCCACCCCTTTTCAGAGGCCAAACTTCACCCATAGTGAAGCCACATCCTACCAAAAACTTCAGGGCAGTAAGTAGTGCTTGTTCTAAAGAACAGTCAGCCAGCCTGGGCAAGGAGCTCTTACCTAAGTTTCAACAACAGAGAGTTGGACTTGGTGCAACCAAGAGCTTCAGCACCTCTTCCTGTTGGATGTCTAGGAGGCCCAAGTTGTCTGATGCTTTTTTTCCACTTTGGGGAAGAGAGGTAATAATATAAATATATTGTATATTGTTAAAAATTGAAATAGAGAAATCAAAATTATATGTAAAGAATATTAGGTGAAAAATATAGGTCATGGCCTATAATGACTGAGTTTTGCTTGGAAGGAAAATCTCAACTTCTTCTAAATGAAACTCAGGTCATAAAGCCCAACCAACTAAAAGAAAGAGTAGTCAAGCCTGATTTTTTATTATTATTATTGCATAAAAATATGGCACGCTTCACAAATGTGCGTGTCATCCGTGTGCAGGGGCCATGCTAATCTCTGTATCGTTCCAATTTTAGTATATGTGCTGCTTAAGTGAGCACTCAAGCCTGATTTTTATGGCCTCATCAGTGAAAAAGCAGTTAATCTTAACAAATAACTTTCAATTTTGCACCAATCAAGTGAGAAAATCAATCTTTAAAAGATTTTATCTCTTGTACCACAATTTTCTTTGCTTTACCAAATGACAAAGCAAGACAAGATACTGTCTGCAACCCAGTATTTTTCCCTATTAAAATAATGAGGTTGAATTAGCTTATTTCTAGGATCCATTTCTGTCCCAACTGAAAAATATAAATTTTATTGGAAAACAACAGAAAGGGCCCTTTAATGTGCTGTAGGCCAGCCCAGAATTATTATGTATTTATTTATTTATTTATTTATTTTTTGTAGAGACAGAGTCTCACTTTATCGCTCCCGGTAGAGTACCGCAGTGTCACAGCTCACAGCAACCTCTAACTCCTGGACTTAGGTGATTCTCTTGCCTCAGCCCCCCAAGTAGCTGGGATTACAGGTGCCAGCCACAACACCCGGCTATTTTTTTGTTGTTGCAGTTCGGCTATGGCCAGGTTTGAACCCACCACCCTCAGTATATTGGGCCAGCACCCTACCCACTGAGCCACAGGCACTGCCCCAGCCCAGAATTCTTGATTTTTTTCTATTAATGGCTGAGTTTTATGCCTTCATTCGCCACCATTGCCTCCCCAAGACCATAGAAACAGAGTTGTCACATTGCTCCGGCACCTACCACTTGTTTACCACTGACCTACTATTATAAACAGGGAGGGAGTGTTACGAATACCAAGGACCTCCTTTTGGTGGAACAAGTGTAAGGAATTAGCCTCAGCAGGGACATTCACTGGGTGATTTGATGAAAACAATAGGCAGATTCCCAAAGTATTTTTTGTAGTAACTTACATAGAGTCCTTCCCCCAGATTATATGTAATAGATACAATCTAGATCAGGATGTATTTGAAGTGCCAAAAACTTGTGCACTGGTTTTGAATTAAAGTGCGGTACACACGAGTCTCCAAACAATTAACAGTGATCAGTAAAATAAGTCTAGGGTTTCAAAACAACCACATAAATTTTCACACATGCATTAAAAGTATATAACTCTAGAAAGTTCAAAAATATCCAAATTTCTTTCCTTTATTTAGAATTGAATTAAAACAATGGATATAGATCATAAGTCATTTGATGTTAAAGTCAAGAGAGAGTGAGAGCTTATCAGAGATAGTTTTGAAACCACAATCATTAAAATAGATAGTTCAATGGAACAGAAATAATGGAAGGGATCTTTGATGGAAAAACTATTTGGAAGGATAAAATTGCCCTTTTCTGGAGGAAACTTAGTGTACCCCGGGTAATACTTAGCCTTTTCCAAAACTGCACTGTATAATTCTTAGAAAAATTAGTGAAGTGGCTGTGGTTTATGTTTAAACACTGAGATCCTAACATACAATAACACACTCTATTCTCTACTATTTATCTTCAAAATAAGACAAAGACACAGGACTAGTGGTCAAATCTTCTACTCTCATGCCTCTTTAAATATGCTTTTTGTTTGCTGTATTCTTATGTCACTATAATTTTTTGAGCCTCACTGTGAAGACAGTCTTGGCTTTCACTGACTCCCTTCATTGTGAGTAGCCAGCAGGGAGCAGAGGAGGTCATCCTGTCAGCCTCCCTGGGTAGATTGGTAGGCCACAGTGCACTGTGTCGCCATGTGTTCCGAGAAAGTTTGCTCATGCAAGTTTGTTCATGCATGTCTGATGACAATGAGGAAGCATAGAAAACCAGTCTCTGCTTAATGACCCTACAGTTTCAGCTGCACCTGACTCTGCTTTGCATAGCCCTTCCCCGGAGAGTTCTCATCTCCCAGAGTTGTTATTAAAGGGTCCTCAAGAGAGGGGGCAGGTGAGCTGGAGTGGGGCTGAGCTCTCTGAGAAAGATGCGATGTCCGTCTCAGCTCTTGTGCTTTCTGCTGCTCTTCATCACAGGTGAGAAGTACAAGAGGGGATATGATGCTGAGTTTCCATCCCATGGAAGGTCCCACAGGGGCCCTTGAAATCATCATACCATGTATGCGCCTGAGAGAATCTTTCTCTAAGAAAACTTGATCTGTCACTCAGAAGTGCTTCCTTCAACAATTTAAATAGATACACATTCGTGTGTCTTAAATAGGTTCTGTATGTATGTTGACTTCTGCATATCTTCTGTTACTGTAGACCTGAAATTGGGCAAAAGCGTGACCCAGTCACCACCTACCCTGGCTCTCTATCCTGGGGACAGAACCACCATCACCTGCACAACAAATCCCAATGAGAAAACCAAGTTTGCTTGGTATCAACAGAGACCAGGCCAGTTTCCTAAAGTCCTGGTATATGATACATCCACCCGGGCCTCAGGAGTCCCAACCCGATTCAGTGGCAATCATTCTGGGACAGATTTTACCCTCACTATCAGCAATGTAGATACAACTGATGTTGCTACTTATTACTGCCATGAATGGCCAGGACACCACAGTGATATATCCCTAAACAAGAACCTTCACAGTCAGAGCACAGCTGCGTCTTTTATTCATGTGTGAGGCATGGGGTCCAAGGCATGATTACAACTCTCCTAGGGGGCATATTTGTTCTTTCATCTAATACCACTAATACCTAGTGGTATTAGCATGCATTTGATAACTGGTGACCTCAGACTACTATTTCAAGAAAGATTATAAAACATAATAAAGTTCCTGAATGGCTCTAGCTAATAGATTAATTATGGAGCATAAGAGTATATATTCATTGGGCACTTTATTTTCAAAGAGCCACTTTACAAAAGCCTGAGGACACAGCAATTAGCAAGACTAAAAAATTTCTCTCTTAATGAAAATTCGAGTAATGTTAATGGACATTCAAAATTATTTACTGAATTCGTAATTAGTGATAAATTATAAGCTGAATGTACACTTGAGAGAACATACATTCATACACACATGCCAGGGGCCTTGCAACATATAGACCTAAAAAGGAGAAAACATCGCTACAAGGAAATAAACAAGGCCTAAAGAAATGGATACATATGCCACATTTATGCATCAGAAATCTTGATGAGTTTCTGGGGTCTTATTTTATGCCTTCTATTTAATTTTGTGTTAAGTGGAATTAGAATGATTCCTAAATTTTCTGGGAAAGTGGTGGGGAGTTTTCAGAACTGAGGGTCCTCCTCTTTTTAAACCATATGGGGTAACTTCTGGAAGTTCCCATGGCATTTGCAAACTGTCCTGGCACTGGTGGGAGTTCTGTTAATATTCCAATACATTATAAGCAGGGTAAAATGAGCAGTGAGGGTAATCTGAGGTTGTTATTCTAGGCATCTAGGTTCTAGCTGGTTTCAGTTGGCTTCCCCACCCACACCATTTTATTAGAGATCTTGGTTCAGGTCTTATGACTCCTTATTGAGAATGTCTGCCAGGTCCCTATCTCAAAATCACTGTCAAACCCAAGACCCTACAACTACAGTTCTAATCCAGAAAATGTGTCAGGATGAATAGAACTGTCTGGTAATGCCTGGGATCTCTTTCTGGGCTGTCTAGTATCATTCTGACTGAGGTCTAGAGGCTGATTTCCCCTTTTTGGAGTTGTGATCCAGCTCCTATTTCCAAACAATCCCACCTACACCTGAAGCCCAAACAAGAAAGACCTTTACCCCCACTTATGAGATAGCTATCGTGTGTGCTCCATAAACAGGTTTGGGAAGAGAGGGATACGTACTCCATATATTCCACTGAGCTTAATGAGGGTCTTTGTCTTCAGAGAAAAGAAGCACCTGATAAACTTCTTTGTGCTCTGGAGGGACTCATCCCACATCTAGGAGTATTGGTTTTGCCCACTACCATGGGACAGGCAGCCAGCCAGCTGAGAAGCAAAAAGAAAGAGCTGTGCAATAGGTAGACTCTCACCCGAGCCAGTGAGGATACAGAAGACTTGAACACTACTGTCAAGATTCCCCACATCACTGAAACACAGAAAGTACCCCACCACAATAGCAGATTGCAGTCTTTTCAAAACATTTACCAAGATAGACCATACTGTGGGCTGCAAGATATCTTAATAAAATTAAATGTATTCAAATTACATAAGCATATTCTCTGAGAAAAGTGGAACTATAATAAAATTAAATGTATTCAATTTACATAAGCATATTCTCTGAGAAAAGTGGAACTATGCTATAAATCAGAAAGTTATCCAAAAACCCCCGAATTATTGGAAAATAAGTAAAATACTACCACCTAAACCTTGAATCGAAGAAGAAATACGTTAACAAATCAGAAAGTATTTCGAATGGAAAAAAAAAATAACAAGTTACAGTTTATGAATTTCAAGAAAGCTCTGAATATATACCCCTGATTTTATACCACTAAAAATCTATATTAGCTAGAAAGTTCTCAAATCAATTAAATTATTTGCACCCACACATACTAGTGAAAGAAGAGGAAATTAAACTCTAAAACTAGTCTTTCTACCCATAGAAGTATGAGAATATAATGGAAACATGTTTTGACTTTTATCATGAAGATCTTATCCATCTGGAAAGAAATATATACATTAGCAGCTTCACAAAAGAATGATCTGAGAGTGGATGGGAAGATTCAATAACTGCTCACAGATAATTCAGTGAAAAGGGAAGTCAAAATAGGCAACACTAATATAATGTGCTGCACTTATGTAAGACTCTTGTGAACTTCAACTTGTTCAGAAGACAAAACTCACACAGTGCAGGCAGCTTTCTATTCTTCTGAGAGTGGAAGGACACTCTCAGTCAAGTGATGGTCACTTGACAAAGGCAGGGAGGGCCCTGAACGTCATCAGTGGCAGCAGATGATGTCACAACACACTAGTCTCTTCCCAGTGACATCACTGAGTGTCCATACAGCCACGAGGACAGGAAGGAACTTTAGTGGCTGCTCTAGGGAGAACACGGCAGCCACAGACTGGAAAGTCTGTGGAATGTGAGTGGTCTGATCCTGGAGAAGGAAGAGGATCTGGG